ACATTGTTTTCCTGGAGACTTATTCTAACATCCATAGCTACTACTCTAACTCTAACTCTAACCTTAACCTGACGCTAAACTTAAACCAAAGCTTAAAACATGTCTTCACCTGAAAATGTAATGATCTATGTAATGGGACTTGCTTTTTGTCCCTATAAGAATGACAACTCTCCATAATATGACTATGAAAACAAAAGTAGTCCCCACAACATGAGTGATGACATGATCCAAAACAGCAAATGTGTGTTTTTAACAACAGCTCTGCCTGTGTGTGTTTCTCTCTGCCCACAGGTTTTGCGTGGGGGACAAGTTTTTCCTAAAGAACAACATGATTTTGTGTCAAATGGACTATGAGGAGGGTCAGCTGAACGGCAGCTTTGAGACACAGGTCCAATAGTTGGAACCTGGTGGCAGCAACGATCGGCTCCACACTTTACACACGAGATGGATGTTCTGCTGCACTTGGAAAAAGACAAGCGTCTGTCTGCTTGCCTGCAATACTTTTTAAGACCCCTTTATCAGTCCCTAAGGACTCTATTGTAAATGTTCAACTTTTTGCCCCTCCCACACCCCAACACTGAGCAGTTACAAATGTTGATGTACAGTTGTGCCTGCTTAGCTGAGCACTGTATTGCTTGTATGTTTTGTGAAATTTATTTCAGGTTTGTTTTCTTCTCCTTTTAGAAATGGTTCATTGGAGGGTATGTACAGTCTGTTTTCTCTGTATATATAAACTGGAACATTTATTTTATGAAATGTAATGCAATTTTATTACTAGTGTGAATTAAAGATTCTTAAATGTTCATAGTGGGTTTTTTCTCTTGTATCAAAACCAAAGTTGTTGGAGGAGGTTGGTCCATGTATTGATATGTAATTATGTCTCCAAAACTTGCAGCGGTATAAGTCGCCTTGCAGGAGAAAAAAAATATATTTGACGTCCTTCTTTAAAACATGATGCAACAAAACAAGTTTTGTGACATTTTGCAGAGTTCTGATGGTAGAAATGCTGTTTAAAATGGACTAAATAAGATTTTATTTGGAATAAAAGAATGCTTCTCCAAACTGTGTTGTTGTGAGCGTGCAGGTGTCATGAAGGGGAGTCGAGTCGAGCTGCCCACAGTCATTCATGCTTCATTAATTATCATCTGATTATGAGGGACTGAGACGCTGAATTGGCCTCGAAATGAAATTCAACAGCAAATAAGTTAAATTAATGTTCTCTGAGTTTGAGGTCATTTAAATTCATCCTAAACAGGAGGCTGGCTCTGTTAATGTGTGTCTGTGTGATACTGTCTGTATCTGATGAGGTTATGTTTGATATATACATATAACCACACACACACACACGCACGCACACACACACACACACGCACGCACGCACGCACGCACGCACGCACACGAGGTGGAGCTGTCAAATATTCAACCAATTCCTTAAGTGATAATGACTGTTAATGAGTTTATTACACAAACTGCTAGTATGCTAGTACGAAGTGAGTCTAAATACGCACATATCTATTAATACACACATACATACATATATGCACATACTGTATATGTGTGTATATACACACTCAAATAAACATATATACACACATATATATATATACATATATATATATATAAATATACAAACAAACGTGTGTGTGTGTCCACAGGTGTATATATATACAAATACAGTACATACATATGTACACAAACATTGTTGGAATGAACAGCTCCATATTGATTTCTTCCTGAAATATTAAATTATTGCTCAATTTAGATTTTTTCAGAATAGGAAATACATTTTCATTACAGATTAATCTGCTGATAACATTCTCAATTAATCGATTAACTGTGTAAGAATATGTCTAATTTTACAGCACCTACGATGACATTTCCGTATTGATTTTCTTGTCTGACCATCAGTCCAAAACTAAAAGATATTCACATTACAATTGTGCTAAAATAAGGGCAGACTAATCAATTTAAGATTTAAGATGTAAATTAGCATTTTCCATCCACTTTGGGTCGATTTAAATTAATTCTAAAATATCAAAACCTCAACACTGCAGCCATTACTATCAGCAAATCTTTCAACAGCTGTTTCGTACATGGTGAAACAATGGCAGCTAATTAGAGAGTACAAACATCATCATCACAAAATGTGTTTTCCTACAAGAACCTCAGCAGAATACAAATGGCCAGAGCTCATAAAATGTAAGTGCTCTTAGATCATATCTTCCATTTAATTCAAGTTGAAGTTCAGGGTAATATCCTATATATCACTATATCTAATTTCACTCTAGTACAATGACATCACATGTTACCAGACCTCATATGTGACACGTTGGAACATGAAAACCAAAAAGACACGCAGTCCGTCATATTACATCACAAGCTTTGATTTAGTGGGATGTTTTAATGTCCCTGGAAATGAACATGATGACCCCTCACCCCCATGATGCACAGTGTAGTATGTAATGCAGAGACAAAAGCACTGTTTTAAAACATTTTTTTACACTCATGTTTTTGACACACACACATATGTATATTATATATCCTGATCAATATATCGATACACACACACAGGCACATGTGTATCAATATATTGATCAGGGAAACCAAAAGAGCCAACAAGAATTGCAGATTATTATCATTTTGTTTGTCTATAGCTTCACTGCTGTCTTACAACATTATTATTTCACACATTGCCCTCCTTCATTTTTGGAGGCAGCAGGCAAACTTCAGATTTCAGGTGTGAGATTCTGTAGGCGCTTTCTTACCAGCAGGACACAGAACAGCAATATAATTTGCTAACACATAAATCAAGTGTGCAAAGAGCATTAATTAGAAATTCATTAAAAATTCAGACTCACCGGCAGGTGTGCAAATAAAGGATTAGGTAGACATCAATTATACCACATAAGAGAACATTTTAATTGCAATTCCTGGATTGATTTACAGAGGGAAACAATCAGGCTCCGTGCAATATGGCTGATTGCTCATTTTCCGGAAAAATAATGAGGAAAACACCTCTCCAGGTAACACTGTCCCCAGCTGTAAATGTACACACACATACACACACACACACACACCGCATATTCAGACTTGTGTGCACAGATACATCCCGTCTTTATATGTATACATATACAAGTGTACAAGCCCACAAAGCACATCTTAATGCTGAACATAAAACATGTGCACATGAAACAGACAAGCCTCGCTCACACAGATACATGCTCACCCAGAATTATAGCATATGACACACACAGGCATACTCGCACACTCACACACACATTCATTCACTGCTGCTTGGCACTCCCATCTGCTTGTGTTGGTGGGGAAGTTCTTAAGCACCAAATGTTGCGCCGTTATGACTCAAGTTTGTGAATTCTCCAACCTCCTCTGTGTTCCTGATTACTGCATTATGGCATCTGCTTAATTAGCTTGGCTTGTGTCATATGTTGCACACGAGGGGGTGTTAAAAAGTGCCCTTCCCTATTGCTCATTATCTGCCTCGATTCATGTGATGTATAATCTCTCTTGACAGACATTCATATTGACATAGGGACAGCTGTCAGCAGAGCGTGGTCGTAAAGGGCACATGTGGAATAAAAACCACAACGAGGGCAGATTTAAGGAAAGGCTGCCAAAATCCTACGTGAAACTGGTGATTCTGTGTTTCTCCCTGCATCCATCCACCCTGCAACAGCTCTAATTATAATTTAATTTTATGGATGAGAGTTTTTTGGGAGAACGGGCTGATAGTAGGTTCTGGCATTTTGATTACTACAGGTAAAGTAACATCCTGCCAGTGTATTTTCTGAATCAGTGTGGTGTCCAACTCTTGGCGAGGAATCAACCTCATCATTGCCATGTGGGAAATTGTAAATGTTATCTGCATAACAGTTCTGGACAATCAGCTCCATCCCTCAATACGCTACTTCCTTGACAGGACAGAGCGTTAGGAGAATGGAGACACCTCTTCTTCCCGAAGGTTCATATTCTGTCGAGACAGGAAAGCAATCACGCTGCAGTATTGGAATAATGAAGGCACCCCAGGTCTCTTTGGGACCTTTTATTTAGAGATGTAGGTTTTCACTGCCATGACACAACCCTCTCATCAGACAGAACATCCAGTCAGTGATTCTAAATGAAAAAAAATGTCCAAGAAAATCTACACGCAAAAGATCTCGACTGTTTCTAGAGAGGAAACCTGATGGTCCCTCACGTAATATACAATTTCTTCAACCATCAGTTTCAAATAATTGTATCTTTCATATTTAGGTCATTTTTAATTGACCTTTTTGAATGGAGCCAGAGTTGCATAATGAGTTATATATAATGTTATTATAGTGCAAGTCTAACAAGCGTTTGAGTCCATCTACAGTGAGTCATTTCAGTTATTCAGACTTTGGTTAGTCTGAGTCTCTGACGGCTGCTGCAACATGTTCTGCTGCCACAGAGGAAATAAACTTGTGAGGAGCGAAAACAAGTCCTCAGCGTCTCCCGACGTCTTTACTGCAGAAATAAACCAGGGAGAAAATCTGTCAAAGGACCAAGAATTACATCTGTCACAGATGATGAGCTCAAAAAGACTCAAGTGTGAAAAATGTTAACTGTCAGAGAAAATAATTATGAGAGAGGAACGATAGTGAGAGAGGAATCGACTTGCCACAGAAAAAGGATGTCAAGTCATAGCTGGGTTGTGCCTTTATAAACATTGCAGTGGTAAGGGTCCGATGCATATGTTCCCAATTAAGTGACGTGGATGCCTATGAGATATTTCTGTGTCTGCATGTGTAACGTTTATTATAAGATAATTTGACATCCTCCACTTATTAACCATAACGCTTCAACCTTACAGCCTCAGAGAGGAAGCTACAGCTCATGTGTGAAAACGTGGTGAATACCTTCAACAAAGGAAAATAAGAACAGGGATGCTAGCTGTGGTGAAGTGAATATTATTACGCCTTGAAAATAAAAAGATTTTCACACTCAATCAAAAACTCCAACATATGTTCCATTGATGCCTAATAGGCCTGCTTGTGCTGTGTGGAGGAGACTGGTGAGGGCAATTAGCCGCATGTGGCTTTGATTAGCACCGAAACCACAACAGCGCTGGAAGGAGAAACTGTATAGAAAATACAACACTAAATTACCGTTGAGGCTCTTTTTTGACAGAATGCAATAAAAATGGAAGAAACTATTTGACTGCATGGTAATAACAGGTAAATGTGAACACGTTAACTATAGCATGGTGCCCATGGCTAAGATTATGCATATTCTACCTACAAACAGCCTGCGCAGAGCAATGCATATAAAACTGAAATAAATGGCTACAGATGCATGAACTTGCCCTAAAAGAGGTTTGCTTACTCTGTGATCTCATTCTTAAATGAAACCAATTTGCCTAGAAATTGGTTCTAAGGCCTAATGCTGAACTCTGAACATCAGCTCCACCAGACACACACACACGTACGCACGCTCTCACACACACATACATACGCAATGGCTTTCACAAACGCACTTTCACAGTCACACTGCTTCCACCCCTTCCCTCGCTGCAAATCATGTTTGACTTTGAAGTGCTAATTTTGGAAGTTTAGCCAGTTTTTATTTGCTGCTTTGAAATGTATCCCCTAAGCTGCTGCACCAGCAATGAAATATACAGACCTTTACAATGAGGGATAAGTGACCAAAATGAGAAGCGCCTGGTTTTCTTCCTAACATTATATAACTGTGAATAATCCCCCCCCCCCCACCACATAACATTTTCTCCTGTGCCATCACTGCCTCAATTTATATTCAAAAACATCATGCAGACTTTTAACTTTTTGCCTCAATCCCCACCTAATTTCGGAGCTAATTTAAGATACCTACAACACAATGCTGCAAACATGAAACTTGTATTTTTCTCATTATTACTGTGTTTTATCAGTGTGCAAACAAAAACATCACGGTAACTAAGTACTTTTATTAAATAGTGTAACGTATCTTGGTTCCTGCTGAGTGTCTGATATCAGGGATATT